TCTGCTTTCTTAGTATTAAATCTGACTGGATTAGAACTAGAGCTATAAGTCGACTTACTAATAGTAAATAGAACCCCGAAGTAATTAGAACCTAATTCTAGTAATACTTGCCAGTCCTTAATCTTAGTTACTATTCTACTAGTAATAAAACTTAAGTCTAATACGGAAGAAATAGATATATTAGGTCTATAGAAGGTACCTTTCCCTGATTTATTTAATAGCCTTAGAGAATAATTCTTTATATAGCTAATTAAATAAACTATATAACTACTTTGAGATTTAAGGAGATTCTACTAAGGATAATATATATTAAAATTACCTAGTAATAGAAAGCTATTATAGAGAGTAATAAGTAAAATGTCCTCTCTTAATATAATTAATATATTATTAGAGTCTTCTGAATGAATTGTATTATAGAAATTAATTAGCTGCATTTTTAGTATACCTAAACTTAAGTCTATAATTAAGTAATTAGGATTACTTAGTAAGTTTGAGGCTATACTAGCTTGCAGTTCGCAAGCTATATAAAATAGGGTTCTAGGCCTCAGGATACTATAATTCGGGAGTATTTAGAAATAGCTAGAATATATAATAAAATATTATTCCCGATTATTATTCCCTACTATTACTTAAGGCTCCTGGATTACTAGGACTTTAATATCTAGTTCTATAGCTATTTATAAGACGTTTTTAGTAATAGAGCTATTATAATTCATATTAACTTATAGTACTTTAATATAGTTACTTATTAATAGTAATAGTAGGAATTATAATAGTAGTAGCTTTTTTAATTACTAAATAAACCTTATATGGCTTAGAACTAGCTAAGTGGGTAGTACTTAAGTAATTAGAGTATTTAGTAGTTATATAGGGGCATTTTTTACTCTTCTTTTTATAAATAGAGCAAAAATGGTTCTCAGTCACGTGACCCTCACTATATAATAAGCACTTAGGTTCCTTTTTACAAATAGAATCTAAGTGCCCGTACCCTATATACCTAGTATACTATATAATACTAGAAATAATATAATATTTTACTACTTTAGTAGAGATCCCGGCTATAAGAAGTTTATTTTTAATAGCTCTATTAGCTTAAATCTTGGTAGGGAATACTACTACTACTAAACCGGCTCGCTAGAGGCCTGAGTCTCTTTTCTTCTTTAAAGTAGCCTAATAGGGCTAGCTAATAGGCTCTAGTCCCTTATTAAAGGTCTTAATTTCTTCTAGGACTAAGTTTATTCCTTTGGGTATATTAAACTCACGAATAGGAAAACCGTAAATAATAACTTTATACTAAGATTCTTCTTTTTATATACTTATAACTAAGAGAAGTACTCCCTTTATAATAGCTTAATTTTAAACCAGAAAGTCAGAGTTGAATTCGGGAGTAGTATTAACTATAATATTACCCTTTAAGGAGAGAGAAACCATAGAGATTACTAGTTCCTTAATTTCCTTAGAGCGGAAAGTAGTATTAAGCGAATTGCGAATAGAAATAACAGAGAACAAGCTAGCCTGCTTTATATAAGCTAGTAGGAAAGTGCATTTCCTAGAGAGGGCTATAGATCTGGTATTACAAGTACCAGAACTACTAGTATTACGTATACTAGGTGGTTTATTAGTACCACGAGTACTACCGCCACTAGTAAATATACTAGGGCCTTTTCCTCTCTAATTTTTAGACTTAGTATATAATACTAAAGTCTAGTCCTTTTCCGAGTATAATTCCGAGTATATTTGTGGTTCTTGAGTAGTAATTTTAGCCTAAGTAGGCTTTCCGGAGGTAGTTTTAGCTTAAGTAGCTAGCTTAGCTTGAGTTCTTAACTGAATTTCGATCTGTTTAGTAGCATTTTCGAGGTTTACTACCTATAAAGCTAGTAAAATACTAGTATAGCAGATACGGCCGAATTCTATATATTCCCTAAAGATTTCTACTAAATCTAGTAGTCGAGATTACTAGTCATATAACGGAGTAATAATAATGGCTTTAACTATTAAGTCCCGGGCTTAATGAATTAGTAATTTAGCTTTATTTAAAGCTTAATTCTGGTATTAGTAGTGGTTTCCGTGGTTTTGGTATTCCTTATTAATATTACTATTAATATTACTCGTACTAGGGCTACACTTTAGCCCGTTCTAGAGGCGGCTTAGTCAAGCCGTACTAGCTGAATTAGGCTAAGGAAAAGGGGCTACGAGTTCGTCTAAAGAGATGGGATTTATAGCTAAATCAAATGCGAATTAAGCTCCTTGGCTAAACCGAGCTAGTGGGGAGCTAGTGGGTAGCTCTAGTTCCTCGCTAGGGCCCTCTGGAAGCTCTCCGAGCTCTTGAAAGTCGATGGGAGGGGGGCT